AGACGTGCGGGGAATTCACATTCAGCTGAAACTTCTAAAACTAATTCCGGTCATGGACGCGTGACTGGATAAGGTTTTCCACTAAGAAATTGTTTTCAAGAGGAGACTCTATTCAATACACTTGCAATGTAAACATATGATTTATTTACTTACTCTTTTCAGAAACAATTTTCTAAACCTTACATGTTTTCTAGTTATTAAGCAAATAGCGAACTGCCGGTCTTATTGAGTGACCAATAACGGGCAATGTTGATTCAATGTTGATTCAAAGGCATGGGACCTCAGGTAGTTATAATTTAAGCACTAGAATAAACGGAAGTTAAGTTAAGTTAAAAAAATATAAGCAACTTTTCGCCTTCCCCAAAATTCAAGATGGCGGCCAAAAGGAGATTATGAGGGGCAAATTTAAATTTAGATTTTCAAAGTGAAAGCTACCGTTTTATCCTTGCTATCATGCATTTTTATAATGCTTAATAGTCAAAGATTAATATGTGACATGTCTCGGCTGTTCCCCTCAAGTGAGCCATAAACCCAAATTTTCGGCTCTCAGCTGATGGACTATTAGTACGTGTCTGTAAATATACCAAAATTCAAGGGCCTTGATTCCAGAGAAATTACATCATTGCCAGAGATCAAAAAAGTGATTTACATGGCATAACATTTCAATTATCGCCGAAAATAAACTGCATGCTCATCGCAAGATTCATTTGCATACAACGAAAGTTTACAACACCTGACCATCGTAGTTTCGCTAATTAAGATTCTTATTTTTTTTCGACCACTCAGTAGTGTTCACTTGTTCCAAAGTAATCAACGCTTTCAAGCGATAGAATTCGTGGACTGACGCGTTTCGGAAAAGGTCTAAATTAAAATATTGCCTAGGGTTTCTTCGCAAGGCATGCGTGGCTTCCATCACGCAGCGATTATTAATCCCAGATTCCACGGTCTCCTCAAGGAACGCCTGGCACAATGACCTCCCTTTTGTGTCCTAAATACGGGGGAAAACGCGTTCCAGATTATGAGTCTCGCTGCTTACGCAAACGAGACTAATAAAGCCAACACAGTTATGTGGTAATCTAGCCGAGTTCCCAATTTTGTGAACAAGTTCGTACGCACATCGAAAGCGACTTGCTAGAGGGTGTTCGTCTACCGAAATCATGAAAATGTTAGAGGAGCGCTTTGGTCAACCAGTAAGAGTGAAGAAAACATGTGTGGAAGAGCTCGCGCCTGGCCCCAAGTGGGCGTACGGCGACAACATCGGTCTTCTGAACTTCTCTGAGAACTTGAATGCCGCCACGAGGATCCTTGAAGGAGACTTTGAACGCGAGGAATGTGTAGCGACGAACCTCAGAGGCGTAGTGAATCGCCTACCTAATGACTTGATCTTGTGGCAAGTGGCAAACGGAGAACTACGAGCTTGTGACGTCTTGAAGATCCGTTCGATTGAAAACCATCCACGGGTTCGGTTTTCAAAATTCAGACCGCCAATTCCATTCAAACAAGAACGCTCTTAGTAGCGTTGAGTCTCGCTTGCCTGGAGCCCGTGTGGCTTGGAGATAAGTTTTGTTGTCAAAGGCGGTGGTGCAGTTATGCTACTTTTTCGTTTTGAATACAAAATGAGTGTTATATTTCATAATGTAAATACTCAAAACGTAAAAATTGCAAGGAGATACTGGCCGCACATCCGCGTTAGTTTCACACCGGTGTGAAACGTTTGAAAACCTCTTACATATTGATATTGCTCCAGTGAGGATAACTCTTTCAGGGAATTTACACTCAAAACATTGAACGATGATTTTTATNATATATATATATATATATATATATATATATATATATATATATAGCTTCTACGTAGCGGACCAAGATATGGCTCGATTCAGTTTTTGTTCAGTACAGGAAAAATATATAACTTTAGTAGAACCTTATAAAGGTTTTTCAAAGCTGGTTTACTAACTTAGAAAAAACGCCACTGAATCGTAGCCAATAGTTGCCAGCGCCGTACAAACGACTTATTGACGAGATCAAGGAAAACTAACTACGAGAGAACGACTGGAGAACTGACAATTTGACTAAGAATAGACGACTGTTTAACTGTGACAATAGACAGATCAAAGCTCACCAATTAGTGATTACGAGTCCTCATAGCCAATAACATGACGGCTTAAGTTACAGACGACCAATAACATCGTGACGTAATTGAGCAATCAGATCAATAACCAGAGTATAATACCATCAACTGCCGTAATACAGCTCACCTTGACTCTGAAGATTACTACCGCACAGGTTGTCGAAACGTCAGTCACTGTCAACCCGGACGATCAAACTCAACCTACTTTAGAACCTTATATAACAGACAGTTAAGTCAGTTTGCGCGTATTTCTGTTGAATTTGTTATTCGGTTTGTAAGATATCAAAATCGCGTGAAAGCAATTACATTATCCATAGCTGCTTAGTATCTGCTTTTGACATCTCCGTACCGTTGATGTTTACGCGATCTCAGAGTACAATTTTTAGAGCTGTACACAGCATGCATTTGTATCACAGTACCACTGCGATAAGGCGTTTCATTTTCCAGGAAAATTTCACTTTCTCGTCAAAACAATCACTGACTCAGTCCGACTCGGAGAAGTTTACTTAAATTTTGTGCTACGTTCCGTATAAACACATCCGTGACATATACGTAACGTCAGACAGGTAGTTGAAGTTGCCTCCAGTAGTAGTCGAAGGTAAATCATTGATATCTCAAGAATTTATAAAGTGCAATGCCACGTCACATCTTAACAACTACGAAAATCTATCAATCAAATACATACAACTAAGTGAATCTATTTAACCGTAGATTTCCAGTAATATTCTGAGGAGAAACGTAACGCCTCAGTACACCACAATAATATTTTCTCATCCAATTAGAGATTGATACACGTGCATAATTACACGAAAATCAAGGGCCTCAATTCAGGGAAAATAACGTCACTGCTAAAAACGTAATCAATTTCCATGCGTCATGTCAGTCATCGCCGAAAATAAACCGCATCACGAGACTCATTTTCATACAACGAAGGTCGTCACGATTCTTATCCCCAGTTTCCTCGGTCTCCGCTATTAACGCGTGGCCTACAATCTAGGGAAAACCGACAAAGAAAAAATGATCGTGAACGCAAAGAAACACCAAGCTTTAATTATTGGTCAAACTGACTATAAATTCTCTTTTCCAGTGAAATGCGAGTTAGATATTTTCGGAATGACTCCTAGGTAATAGACTTAATTTTAACAGCCACATATCTACTGTTTGTAATAAAATTAGTAATCAATTTAAAGTAATGTTACGGTTCCGCAATATCATTTCTAAGGACAGAATGCTTAAGTTGTACAAGGCATTCATTCTGCCACACTTTTATTATTGTTCTTCAGTATAGCAGTTTTGTAGAACACGCAACAGTGAAAAGCTGCATTTTCAAAATTTCGTGGCAACAGCTCAAAAATCAATTGGCCCATAATCACATATTAAATAGACCTTAACGCAAGACAAAACATTGCATAGTTCATCTCTGAATTTTGTGAAAACGCCGCCTTTTCAATGTGAAATTTAGGGCGATTTACGATACTTCTCGTTACAAAGTCAAACACTCTGGAGCAATAAAATCTACCACATTTTGTTGCCCGATGTCAAAAAATACCGTTAAAGCAAATTTTGATCAATTCTTGGCTATTTACTTTTAAAATCTAATTTAATTAGCCTTTTATTTAAGCTTGTGGTACTGCGTATAATTCGTTGAAAACCTAGTGTTTAAAAGTCAAAGAGTTATTCTTTTAGAGTCCCAAAGGATTTTTTGGGGAAATGATTCAGAGCGAAGAAATCAATTTTTAAATTTGGATAAATTTCGGTGTTTCAACTTGTCCCACGCGTGACATGACACTGCAACGCACATTACACTTGACAGCACCACCTATAAAGTTAAGCAGAATACATTAAGTCGAGGTCTATTTTAACGTCTAGGAACTAACCTTTTAGACTTCAAATCAATGATGAAGAAAACTGTATTTCTGCAGGCCGGTGTCGTTTGGTTCGTGAACCAGTCGTTCAAAATCATTTCCCACGACATGACAGCGGCACGATGGCATTGTTTGTTTTGCATGCTTTGGACGTTGGTTTTTGCTGTGCGTATTCACTGCCTCCATTTTCCTCAAAAATTGTCTTAGAGTGCCTTTCGTAAGTCGTCTTTGCCGAAACATTAGTTTTGAAATGAACAGCAAACCAAAGCGGAACCAAGAGACCTCAAGTCAAAAACATATGTTATCACGTGGGTGTTGTGAAATACCGCTTCATTTAAGTGAAATCTACAACTACAGAAAAGCGGGATTAGAACATGGAACAAGTGTCTAGTGGATCTTAGCGGGTTTTTAAATTAAATATCAAAGTAAAAAAAGAAGGAAAGAAAAACAGAAACCTGTTTAAAAACGAATGAAGGCAAAAGAGTGACAAATATGATCGCTATAGAAAAATTATTACCTAAGGAAACGAAAAAAATTTTGCGGCGTTGCCCTCGGGAAAAACCTCGTGAAATCGGATAAAAACGTCGTCGCTATCACTTTTTTTTTTTTCAAATAAATTTCATTAAGAATGTCGGTACTAATTTAAAAACAGGTGTCAGTTTTTGTTTGTTTTGAGCGAACCGGGAGAATTTGTTTGCAGTCTCAAAGTAGAAATCTTCACTTTGTAACAGCTTTAGTGAAACGTTTGTAAACACAGAGACTTGCGACGCGTGTTACTCGCCATTATTGAGGACGTCTTTCGTCAACTTAAGGAAATCGTACCAGAAGTCAACTCTGTTTATATAAGGAGCGATAACGCAGGATGCTATCATTGCGCGTTTTCATTACTTTCAGTCTACCATGTTGCCCGCGAGCATGCAATTGAACTAAAGCGTTTTGACTTTTCCGACCCCAAAGGCGGAAAAGGATCTTGTGATCGTAAGGCCGCGACAATTTAAAGTCACATGCGCACCCATCCCAATTCAGGCCACGACATAGAGACAGCCACACAAATGATGACGGCCATTGAGTCATCTGGGGGAATTTCTGGTATCCGGGTGACGGTGAGCGGGCCACAACCTGCTGCAAAGTCCACTTCAGTAAATTGGGAGGGAGTTAGTTTCATTAACAACATTGGATGCACCAAGGAAGGTTTGCGTGTTTGGAGAGCTTATGGAATTGGCTCTGGCAAATTTGTACCCTGGAGCAACTTCCACCAACAAGTTGGGAGTCTTCCTCAGCTAAACAAACAGAAACAGAGTTCTAGTACTGAAGTATCTTTCCAAACTGCCAAAGCCAAAAACCGGTTTTAGAAGAGGCCCCAAAGAACAGAAATAACAGCGACGACGATGAAAGCTGTAACGACGAAGGAAGCGATCTGTTTTTCTACTCATCGCTAGAAAAACATCTGGACTGTGGTAAACACAAGTATGCCGTGGAACAGGAAACACTGTACGACAAGGCAATGACCATGTACGCCACCAAACTGGAGCGTGGTCCTGGCGTCCTACCAGAAATAGTTGATGATGGTGCATCTATTTCACTGGAGGGTGATGCCGCCGTGATACCGATGGGATGGGCTCTTAAGTCAGCAGGAGTACAAGGAAAGAATCTCACGGTGGCGCAGAAAAACTATCTGACTGAAGTCTTTTAAGTTGGAGAACGCACTGGGCAAAAAGCAGATCCAACGAGCGTCTCAAAGGCAATGCGAAGAGTAAAGCATAGTGATTGCTCTAATATCTTCTCCACTACAAATAGCAGGATTTTTTCTCGCTTGTCAGCAAAGAAAACGTAGTGTGGAACAATCCAGTGAGGAGGAAGAACCTGAAAGGAATGAGCTGATAACAGAGAAGGCAATCGAAGAAATGTCCAACGAAGTAACGAAAGCATTAGCCCTTCAGCATCCTATCATGTACGAAACATACAACATCTGTGAGATCGTAGGTCAGTCTAGCCTCCCCGCAGACGTCCTTTGGGGTTCGTTTGTCACGCATTCATTTCTCCCCCATGGACGTCTGCTAAACACAGCCGACATTTACGTTCCCAATCACAGGCCGTTTACGGATTTTTGTAAAACGTAACCCGAGCCTCTTCTTAAGACTCGCACGATCAGTGAGGCTTTTGATCGAGTGTGGGAGAAATATGTAATTAATACAGAGTTAAACAAGTATCAGAGAGAAGCTATCCTGCAAATTTTATAGCGAAGACCGATGAGTTCATAAATTTGCCGACGGGATTTAGCAAATCCCTTATCTATCAAGCTTTGCTGCTTGTTTGCGACACAGTGCGTGGAACTACTGAACATTATTGTTGCCGTCGTTTCGCCCCTAGTAAATCTTGAAAGATCAGTCTACAAAGCTGGAAAATATTGGTATACCTGCTGTAACGCTCAGTGATATTAGGGAAGAGAATATGAGGGTTGTCGAGAGAGGGACTTTCTCTGTTGTTTACGGAAGCCCAGAAGCTTGGTTGAAGATCGATCGGTGGAGGAAATGTTAGCGAGTGACTTGTACAGTTAGTATGTGGACCTTGGTCCTCGACTTTCCCGAGCATGATTGAATATTTCGTCGAGAAATAAAATACAATGAACAATGAAAGGTTTAATGATTTATTGATTATAAGCATTCTTTCTTTCTTTGAAGGAGCGAGATTAAAGTTTGTTGACAAGTAGGTTAATTTGTCGTTCTAGCTTGAAGATCCTTGAAGTTTGGACTTCGGTGGCTCCGTGGTCATGTTTACTTAGCTTGTGAATAAATAAAACGCAACAGGAAGACGTGCCTTTTTGCAGAACAAGTTTTCAGATAAACCTTTTTCTGCCGTTGGAAGCACGTTGCTGTAGACTTCGAATTTTTTGTTTTACCGACTCTTGAAAAAATATAACCAAATTTCGCGTAGTGGTCCTCGGTCCGCGACCCATGACCTTGGTGGAATTACATTTCGCAAAAAAGGAAACGGCCTTTCTTTTCGAAGAATGCTTTGAAAATCTTCCCAATACAAGTTTACAAGTTCTCTTTTCTTAATACTTCGAATATATACAGAGTTAATAGTAATGATTGTTTCGATAGCGCTAAAAACCGCTCCGCCCTCGTGTTGGAGACTGTTGTCTGAAGTCTTTCAAAGAAAAGTAGATTATTTTATACTTACAACAACTTCCGAAAAAACTATACAGCTGACTGCAGCTTTATTTCATCATTTGTGTGATTTTTTCAAAACGTTTGAACGTCTCAGGTAGAAGATATCTGTGCAAATAAATAATTCACTTGAAGAATACAAAGACACATCAACGTCCAGAGCACGTTTGTTGAGCCTTGCGATCTCGACTGCCCTTTTTCTAAACGCACGAACTTCGTCCTTTCCTAAATTACAGCTGCAAAGAAAACAAAAAAATTCGCTTCTTATAACTTTCTTCGGAGTCTCATCCATGCATAGGCATGGAATAAATATTCCTCTTAAAATGCGAGAAATAATTCGTAGGTGCCGTTTCACTTATATCACAGCGCGTGATTGGCTGATCGTGACACGATAACTAACCGCTTATTGGCTTATTAAAACAATCCAGAACGTAAATGTCGGATGTGGTTAGCAGACGTCCGTGGGGGAGAAATGAATGCGCGACAAACGAACCGCAAAGGACGTCTGCGGGGAGGTTAAGGTCAGTCTAGGCTGTCGAAGTTTTCGATGCGAACACTGAAGAACATCTGTGCAGCCTTAGAACTGGATGTAGCATCGATGACTGGCAAGCGCAAGCAGCCGTATATGGAAATTATTGAAGGCGTTGTGGCCAGGTGTGGCTGTAAAACTAGTAAGGCTGACCAGAATATGTAGAGATTAACCTACGAAATAGTCAGTGATGTCGAGAATGTCTTACTTAGGGTAAACTGGAATTGACGGCTCTACGCTACGTGTGTCGTCTATAGTCTATAGAACTTTTTAGAGACACTCTTTTAACAGTGACGACTGACGGGGGCTATAAAGTGTCTCGCCAAAATTATCCTCGTAGCTTTTACGATAGAAGCCAGGGAAAAGCCAGCAAAAGGAAACGTGTTATAGGAAATGTAACAAGTTGTTATAAATTAGTTAAGTCTGTGGAGAGAAAAGGAATCACAGCCACACCCACAAACGGAGAATCTTGACAACTTCAAGTAGATTTAAGGAGGGATGGTCTAATGTAAAGTTTTTTCAAGCTATCTCGTGACTAACAATTTAAGGCCAATCATAAGGAATCTTCCAATTTCATTGTTAAAATTACTTTTAACTGCATCAGTAGTCTACTATGTTGAAACTTTACCGGATTTTGGATTTCCCTTGGATTTCAGGCATACTAATTTGGATTTCCTGCATACTAATTAAGTGCCTTCCTCCATATATAATGAAGTGGATCGGTTTACTAATGAGCGTCACTCTACTACAATAGTAACAATAGGCCGGCCCAAACTTTCCCGGTCTATACCCACCCTGATTGGCTCATGTAGAATCTATTATGTCTCAAAATAAAAGCGGGCTCTCCGTTTGGCATATTACTCTTGCAATCACTTTGCTAAGGAAAAAGTCTTACCATCACCAATATTTTTTAAAACATTACTCCAAACATGCAAGTCAAATCGAGCGCTACACCGTTTCTGACAGTAGATGAAGTGGAAAAAGTCCAACGTCAACGGGTAGCTAGCCTTATCGGCCATGCGTTCCAACTGACTTATGCGGCTACGGTTGACAAACTCATTCAAGAAGAAAAGCTGAATCGCTGCCACGGTTGTGCTATTCAACACCCAAGTCAAAACCAACATTCTTGTCTGATGATGGATCATGATGACGCATGGACGTATTACCATGATGAAGTGGTGGAACAAATTAACCTCAATGTTATCTTAAAAAGGGCTGAAAGTGTGTGCAGTGCTCTTGGTTTCAAACTTGGCAAAAGGTGGGAAGCGTACGTGACCGAATTACCAAAGCTGCCTTGGACTAACATGTACCTCACTTCCTTGGAACTCGAAGTTTATGGTGAGTTAGAAGATCGAATTCTGCATGGTATTTACTACGGACCTTGTGGACTGAAGTGCAAAGGTCCCAGTACTGTGGAAATTGACAGCCAAGTTGAGTTACAATGCCCTGAGAGAGTTGTGAGGAAAGATGAACAACCAATGGACTTTGACTTGATAATTAATGATATTCAAAATAAGCTTTGTTTCTAGAAGTAATAAAATTTGTTTATGACTAAATTGTGAGTCAGAGTGTGTTTGTCTCTGTCTTAGTCAAGATGGGGCTTTCTCTGTCTTTGCTTCGAGTCGACTTTTCTCTGTATCGCGCACAAGCCAAAACATTGCAAGTGTCTTCAAGGGAAATGGAAGTGCTTCAACAAAAGTTTAAAGATCTTCCGGGTTCGAGTCTAGGAAAGTTGAAAAACCTCCACTCTGAGGTCTTTTCAAAAGTAAACTGGGGACGATTGGTGGTATTTTTTAACTTCGCGGACCAGCTAGAATTAACCGAGGAGGAATGGGAACTATTATTTAATTTTCTCGTGTCCACTCTCACCAAGATTCGAGAGTAGCTATATAAGTAAACACCAAGAGGAAAGAAATCATTCGGGCTTGCACTTTCATAGCGATCATCAGCGATGGGTTGCTGTCCTCCTTCGTCCACTTTTGGATTTGAACACATATTAAGCCGCATTCGTTGCGTATTAGGCTGCTGTGGGGGTAGAGTAGTCGTACAAAATTCCGAGTTCTGTGATGGAGAAAACACTGACCAGCATTTACCTCGACCCAAGTCAACCCGCAAGTTTCGGTGGTTTAGATGCTGTTTACAGAGCAGTTAAAGAGAAAGGAAAGAACAAGATATCGCGTAAACAAGTCCCAGAATGGTTGAGTCAGCAAGACGTTTATACTCTTCACAAGCCCGCGCGAAGACGCTACAAGAGAAGCCGAGTCATCGTTCCTGGAATAGATGCCAAATTTCAAGCGGATTTGGTCGATCTTCAGTCGCTACGACAAGGGTTATAAATACTTACTGACTTGTATAGACATCTTCAGCAAGTACGCTTTTGTGTTACCTTTGAAGACAAAACAAGGTCAAGAACTTGTCAAAGCCTTTCAAAAGATCCTTTCTATGGGTCGAAAACCTACCAAACTGCGGACGGATCGGGGAACAGAGTTCCTAAATCGTGTGTTCCAGAAATTTCTGCGTGACAACAACATTGACTTTTTTACTGTTAACTCTGGGCTCAAAGCCTCAGTGGTTGAGCGTTTTAACCGAACATTTAAGAATAAGATGTACACATATTTCACGGCCAAAAACACTCTCACCTAAATCAATGTATTACCCCAGTTAGTATCTTCTTACAATAACACCTACCACCGAAGTATTAAAATGAAACCGAGTCAGGTGACTAAAACGAATGAAGCTCAAGTGTGGGATACTTTGTATGGGGATGATGTTCAAAAGCCTGTGCGATTTAAATTTCAAGTGGGAGATCGCGTCAGGATTAGCAAAGTAAAGAGAATGTTTGAAAAATCTTACTTACCTAATTTTACAGAAGAAATTTTTACTGTTTACAAGCGAATGTCTCGTGAAGTACCCGTTTATAAACTAAAAGTGAATAAAAGATAATGCAAGTGAAATCTTAGATGGAACATATTATGAGCCTGAATTGCAGAAAATTATTAAGAACGATGATGTGTACCGCGTCGAAAAGATTTTGCGGAAGAGAAAGCGTAAAGGAGTAGTAGAGTACCTTGTGAGGTGGAAAGGATACGAAGACCCAAAATTTGATTCTTGGGGTCAAGAAAGTGATATTTTGAAGTTTTAATTTATGCGTTTTTTGTGTAGTGAATAAAGGAAAAGGTAATAATAAAATGAATGGTGTGGGCCTTTCTAATAAATTAAGAATACCCAGATTAAAAAGTTCATTTCAACACAGGGTACGGTGGAGGTAACACAGTTTTATCTGCATCTCCCTAGCAATGGCAGTCTTTTTTATTATTATTATTATTTTACTTCATTTGCTATTCCAAAGTACAACAATTACAACAATTACAATTATTATCACAAAGCATACATGCACAAACTTACTACACACCTAAGCACACGTGCAATTCCACAATTACCACACAAGGTAATGCCTACTGTTATTTTACAAGTGCTATTCAAAAAAGAAGAAACTAATCATTTTTTCAAAAGAAGAAAAACTACCTAGATTACAAAGTCCATTTGTCCATTAATTTTTGTAAATTCTTATTCTTAGTGAAAATATATTTTTCTATTTCATATTTACCTTTTATTCTAATTATAAAACTGTTTATGGTTGGGAGTAGTTCATTCCTTCTGCAACTCCATAAATATATTTTCCCTATAAGTATAAGATAATTAAGCAAGGGGCATTCAGAAGATTAAAAGCCGATCCAAATTTCCTTTAATGTTAGGTGAACTAGTTGTTTTCGCAACCCAAAATAATATGATTCAATACATTTCCAGAATGAATTCGAATAAGGGCAGTCCCAAAAGAAATGTCTGATTCCTGATTCTGATTCCCTTTTGCAAAAAGAGCACAAGTTGTCTGTCATGTACCCAATCTTGAACAACTTTGAGGTGGTAAAAAGTATAGAATTAAGTATTTTAAATTGAAAGGCTTGGACATAAGGTTCAAACGTGATAGAATGGGGCAAGAGAAATGCCTTTCTGAGATCGTCATTAGATAGATTAAGATCCAACTTCAGTTTTTGTGCATAATTTTGGAGACAAGTCTTCTTTTTGATCAAAAAAGGATAATAATCTTTTGATTTCTTTTTTGCTATGTCGAAAACGCCGCCATTGATTTTAAAGGAAGGTATTGCATTAAAGGTACTCGAATCCGAGCGATTAAGAATTCTTAATTTGGTTGGTATTGAATGTCTCATACTAGTCCATTCAAGGAAGTTTGTCTTTTTAACATTTTTTGCAATCTGTTCGTAGGATTCCGTATTGCTGAGATCAAAATGTAGGTCTCCTGTTTCCCAGATACCAATGTCGTAATATTTCTTGTACAAAAAGGGCTTGTCGTCTATTCTAAAGTCTCGATTATTCCAAATTACATAATGCCAATCGTTATTAAGAGCATTATCTTCTCGGAGTTCCGACCACCATTTAAGTAGTTCTAAATAAAAGGTAGAGGTAATTTGAAGATCCTTAACATTATAATTGCATTTAAAAAGCATTAGACCTCCAGAATCTTTCAAGATGTATTCAAGGTAGTTTTTCCACGCGCCTGAGTTGTCACTAAATATTCGTTTAAGCCAGGAAAGACGGAGAGATTTTATCAAACTTTCAATATCCACCATTTTGATGACTCCTTCTTCATAATTATTTATTGTTGACGCTCTTGTTACTTTATCTTTACCTTTCCATAAAAACTTATATAATATATGATTTAAATCCTTGACAATGTGTTCCGGAGTAGGTAACAAAGAGGAGGTGTAAACGATCTTAGGTATAAGAAGTGATTTGATTAGAGTAACCTTTCCGTAGACAGAAAGCCCCCTTGAGGACCAGATGTTGATTAGGTTTTTAATGTCGACGATTTTCTCTGAGAAATTCTTTGAGTGAGACAACTTATGGTCATAGGTGAAAAAGACACCAAGGGCTTGTATTGGCTCTGTGGGCCATTTGATTCCTAGAGGTTTATTTTCACTGTTCTTCAGTGATTCTATCCACATTCCTTCGGTCTTTGAACTATTTACCTTTAAGCCAGAAAGCTCCTTGAACTTATCAAGCAGTTGGAAGAGTTTTTGAGCTGACTCTGTGTTCGGTCTCTGTGTTTTTGAGCTGAAGAAGTTTGGTCTCTTCTTGATTTATTACTATTCCTTTTATTTCTTCGCTAGCTCTGATGGAGATCGCTAAGGTTTCCACGGCCAAAAGAAAGAGATATGGGGAAAGAGGGTCGCCCTGCCTGACGCCACGTGTCAGTTCAAAATAGTCTGAACACAACCCATTATTTACCACACAACTTTTAATATTTGCGTAAAAAGTTTTGATCCAGCGCTTAAAATTTGGACCAAAATTAAAGACATCTAGACAATTATACAGGAAGTTCCATTCTAAAGAATAAAACGCTTTTTCAAAATCAATAAATATCAACAGACCAGGCATATTTTCCTTATCTGTTAAATCCATGATATCGAAGATCGACCTAACCGTTTCACCAATATAGCGTTCTTTTACATAACCAGTTTGGTTATGGTGGATTATAGAAGGAAGTATATCTTTAATTCTGTTGGCAATCACTTTAGATATTATCTTAGCGTCAGCATTGACAAGTGATATGGGCCTCCAATTTTCTATTAATGTACGATCTTTGCCTTTCTTTTCTATTAAAGTGATTACAGCCTGCCTTTGGGAATTAGACATTTCTTCTTTATCAAAGGATTCATTGACGCAATCTATGAAGGGTTTACTAATGAGATCCCAGCAGCTTTTGTAAAATTCAATGGGGAGACCATCATTCCCTGGTGATTTATTGTTTTGAAACGTTTCTATAATTGTCCTACATTCCTCGGTAGAAATTCGTCCTTCACACGATTGCCTTTGTTCTTCCGATAGTTTAGGAATATTTAAACTATTTAGAAATGCCTCTATGGAATCCGTAGCCTCTACAGAGTCCTTAGTTTTGTATAGGTTTTAATAAAATCGTTTTTGTTCGGCGAGTATCCGATACGGGTCTGTAGTTATTGAACCACTTGTTAACAATTTTCGTATGTGTTTTTTGACATGGTATCTCTTTTCTAGATTTAAAAAGTATTTAGTACTCCTTTCACCATACTCATGCCAACGTGCTCTTGCCCGTATGACGGTTCCTTTTACTTTTTCCTCATATAAAAGTTCTAATTTTTCTTTGATTTCATCTAATCGCAATCTATTTGAGGGACAAGGGTCATTTTCAAACAGCCTGTTAGCATCTTTAAGTTCTTGTTGAATCCGCTGCTCTTTCTCATATTTAAGTTTGGCTTTTTCTTTGGAGTAGCTAATGGCGTGCAATCTAATATGTATTTGATCCAGCCCCAAACGCAGCGTTTGTCAGACAGATCAATTTCCCCTTCTTGTTTCCATTTGGGTCTATTAATTCGTAACTGTTCTAGGTAGTTTTCATCCTCTAAGAGCGAAACATTCATTTTCCATATACCAGGACCTTTTATCTCTCCAATGTCTGCTAGAGCTAAGGTTATTGCAGCATGATCTGTGCGTATTGCAGGCTGTATTTCAGTAGCGTTTATAAAATCACAGACATTGTTAGAGATAAGCCAAAATCTAGTCGACAGAGAACTGTTGGGGATTTTTGACTCCAAGTGTAACTTCTTGTTTGAGGGTTCTTAATTCTCCAAATATCAATTAAGTCCAGTTCGCTTTGTAAAGTTTCAATACTATCAATTGCTGCTCTTCTTGGAATCATGACACCACCGTGTTTATCAAGAGCTAGATTTAACGGACAATTGAAATCACCCCCTAATATAATGTTTTCCTCTGAGTCTAAGTCTTCCATTTGAAGCAGGCCATGTAATTTTCTAAAAAAACTGAATTAGATCCTTATCTTTGTTCGGTGCATAGATATTTACAAGAACATATACTTTGTCATCGATTTGGATTTTAAGTATAATAAAACGACCCAGGGGATCTCTAGTTGTCGATAGAACTGAATAATTGGTATTGTTTCTGACCAATATTGCAGTACCGCATGAATTAGGGCTTCCATGTGAGAAAAGTATTTCGCCACCCCATTTATTTTTCCACTGCACCTCTGTCTCCTTCTTTGAATGCGTTTCTTGCAAAAATAGAAAATCAGCCTTCTGTTTACGACACCATGTATAAATTGTACGACGTTTAGTAAAGTTGCTAATGTCCCTTACGTTTAAAGAAACTAATTTCAAATGAACGGTTAAAGCGAAGTTTTAACATTAAATGCGTAGTGCTTGGAGTGCAGAAGGAACCACGGACAACCCAGCTTTGTGTACTTCTAAAGCTACTATTAATTAAGAAAGGACGTGAACTCTTATGTATAAAGCATAATGGTATATTAACTACAAAAGGCATTGACAAAAAAGACAAACAAACAAACATAAGCAAACATATACAAGTACAAAATACAGATCCAAAGACATAATCCAGAGAGAGCATAAACAATACACTACTAGCATACACAGGCTCTTTCACTAGGAATGGAAAGTTATAAGCTAGTGCGAACTAAGACCTTTGGGTAGTGCTCCTAATTGTTTGTACGATCCGGACGACTATTTGGTCGGAGCTCCGCCATAAACACATTTTTTAAGATGCTCCTACTTTCTAGTTCCCTTAGTAACCACCATTACCCTTGAGCTTTAAATAATAAAACTTCAGCAGTTAATTTTACAAATTGCAGCCAACAAAGACAAAAGAAAAGGCGTTGACTATTGTAAAAAGCATGCACTAGGTGACAAGGCGCTACAAAATACAATGAAAATTACCACAGCAAAAATTTCCATATTAGCCCCCATGAATATTGGAAGAAAGAAGGAAAAACGGTAATAAATTAATTTCGAGGAACGTAGTTACCGTCAATGAATAATTTGTCCGGATACTTTCTGCTGAAAAAGGCTGTGCTGCCATTATCCTTGCGTTTTGAAGTTTCTTCATTTGCGCCTTTCTTAGCTGATAAAGTTCCTTCGGCATGTCCTCAAAAACACCACAATCTTTCCCTTTGAGTGAAGTCTTTGCACGTAGTAGGACTTCTTCCCGATCGGAATAGCGGAGAAATCTTGCAATGATAGGACGGGGCTTCTTACCTGATCTTTTCCCCACTCGATGAATCCGCTGAAATTCGAATCTAGTTACGGCATTGTCCAAGCCAAGCTCTTTCTGCAGAAAATTATAAATCACCTCTTTTGTATTCTCCACGTTATTATTCTCCGTCTCGCTTTCGGCGTCGATCGGCGCATCATTTTCCTGGATTCCAAGAAACATAAGATTCTCCCTTCTACTGTAATGTTCCTGGTATAGGAGTTGCATTTTAAGCTCCTCGGCTTCATGTTGGACTTTTTTAAGATCCATTTGCATATCACTTATGTCCACCTCACGGAACTCAACACTCTTTTCAAGCTCATCTACCTTCGTCCTCGTTTTTTTCGTCTTGTCTTTTAGGTTCTGTACGTCCTTCTCCAAAAAGGCAAAAGATTCTTCGAGAGATGCTATTGATTTGTGTAAATTATCCAGACGCGCTTCAATATTGTCTAGCTTTTGCAATTTGTTTAATATCATGTCCACTTTCTTCCCAAGATCGCCAGCCATTGAGCGCCCTGTTAGTACCTCGTCCTCTGCTTCGTTTGTGCTCGTAGAACGACTGGCTTCTTTACTTTTTTTTTTCCTTGGGCGAAAAGGCATCCGAGGAAGAAGATTTGGGTCGATCTTTCCTTTTTGGAGGCATCCAATTGCAAAGAATAACACGCCAAAAGGCGGAGCACCGAAGACACGTCCTTACACCTCGACCATTCCCAGCATTCCCAGCAATAGCAGTCTTGATAAATTTCCTCATAACACATTAACAGAGTACCGAGTTAGTTTACCACAAACCCTAAACCTTACAGGCGAATGGGAAGTGGCTTTGACTGAGATGCATCATCCGTACAGCTGGAATAATATTCAACAGTTTCGATTTTACGTTCGAACTGAAAACTCCACGGTGTTTGGGACTCCCTGGAGATGCTTCCGGGTCATTATTCTTCCATCGAGGATGTCCTTCAAAAGATGAAAGAGTCTGTGGGCAATGAAAATCGGTATGCAGATGATGTACGGTTTTCATACGATAATCTCAGCAGAATGTTACGGTTCATTTGAAAAACGACGCAGAAGTCTCGCTAAATGATATGGCCTATATGCTGGGGTTCACTCCCGAACAAATTATTTCAAAGACCACCAAGGGGGACAGACAAGTGGATTTGGAATACGGCTTTCATGATCTTTTCGTTTACTGTGATCTTATTCAGTCACAATATGTTAGCGATGCACTGATCCCTTGCTTCGAATTGTTCCCGTAGAAGGAGAGGATGGCCAGCGAGTCAGTAAATCGTTTGTGCGCCCTCAATATCTACCTGTCTGCAGAAAGCAATTTGAAACCATCGAAGTCAATATAAAGCGAGACACAGGGGAATCTGTGCCATTTGAGTTTGGAAGAGTGTTGTTAACACTTCATTTTCGTAAAAGTCAACCTCAGTACTTTTAAAAAATGAAAAAACTCCACGCCCCAAATCATGAGCTTTACGAACAGTATTAGGTAGATCAAGCCAAACAAAAAGGTTGGAATTTACCCGCATTTCATGGAGCTCGATTTCAGCAGGGTATGGCTTAGGTTCGATATTTAAAGGTCTGTTCCGCTGGGCGATGCCTCACCTGCAACAAGGTGCTAAGATGCTTGGAAGAAAAGCTTTACAAACGGGTGTCAACGTCGCCCAAGATGTTCTTGATGGAGATAACATTAAAAAGGCAATAAGCAAACAGGCTAAACAAGCCCTCGGTCTACCAGCCCAGAGTTCATTGCAGGCACAATCAGGAGCTGGCAAAAATGCTATAAAAAGGAAAGAGCAAGGCTCAAAAATCAGTTCACCTCCCGGCAAGAAAGCAAGGATATCTCCGCAAGCAAAAAAAACCTTAAAAAGGGAACTTGACTGAATTTTTTGACAAATGATAGAATGACCTTCGTTCATCACGAGTCACGAGAATGTACTAAATCAGAGCTCGATCTTTTTACTATTCCTGCTACACAAACCTCTATTCACAAAGGGCAATGGATTGAATATCATCCTCTCAGCAACATCACGGACACTGGTCCTATTGAATTTAACGTATCTGGNTTTTTGACAAATGATAGAATGACCTTCGTTCATCACGAGTCACGAGAATGTACTAAATCAGAGCTCGATCTTTTTACTATTCCTGCTACACAAACCTCTATTCACAAAGGGCAATGGATTGAATATCATCCTCTCAGCAACATCACGGACACTTGTCCTATTGAATTTAACGTATCTGGAACCGGAGAAGAATATTTAGATTTAACGCGAACACAACTTTATGTGAAAGGTAAAATCACGAAAGCAAACGGAACCGCGTTAGATGCCGATACACAAGTGGGTCCCGTAAACCTGTTTTTACATTCTCTGTTTTCACAAGTAGACCTTTCCTTGAATGAAAGACTTATATCTGCATCAAATAATACTTACCCTTATCGTGCCATGATCGAGTCTTTTCTGAACTACGGGGAAGAAGCTAAAACAAGTCAACTTTCGGTAATAAGTTCATGATAACCGTCAAGAATATAGAGACATTAAGTGACCACTAAGCCCACTATGAGAATGCTGATGTAATTGCTGTAGTTACTATAGTTGGTGTAGTAGCTGTAGTCGGTGTAGAAGCAGTAGTTGGTGTAGTAGTCGTAGTTGGTGTAGTAACTGTAGTTGGTGTAGTTAGTGTAGTTGGTGTAGTAGCTGTAGTTGCTGTAGTTGGTGTAGTAGCTATAGTTGGTGTAGTAGCTGTAGTTGCTGTAGTTGGTGTAGTAGCTATAGTTGGTGTAGTAGCTGTAGTTGCTGTAGTTGGTGTAGTTGGTGTAGTTGGTGTAGTAGCTGTAGTTGCTGTAGTTAATGTAGTTGCTGTAGTTAGTGTAGTTCGTGTAGTAGCTGTAGTAGCTATAGTTGGTGTAGTAGCTGTAGTAGGTGTAGTAGCTGTAGTTGGAGTAGTAGCTGTAGTTGGTGTAGTTGGTGTAGTAGCTGTAGTTAGTGCAGTTCCTGTAATTAGTGTAGTTAGTGTAGTTGGTGTAGTAGCTGTAGTTGCTGTAGTAGCTGTAGTTGCTGTAGTTAATGTAGTTGGTATAGTTAGTGTAGTTGGTGTAGTTAGTGTAGTTGGTGTAGTTAGTGTAGTTGGT